ATTTTCTTACAATCCCTTGTATTTCTTTGGAGTCAGTTGTTATTTCTCCTCTTTCAATTCTGATTTTATCTATTTTATTGTCTCTCTTTTTTTCTTGATGAGTTTGGTTAAAGGTTTTTCAATCTTGATTATCATTTCAAAGAGCCAGCTCTAGGATTCATTAATCTTTTGTATTTTTTAGACTCTCTTTTATTTATTTCTGCTTTGATCTTTATTATTTCCTTCAATTCACTTTGGGCTTAGTTTGCTGTTCTTTTTCTAGTTCCTATAAGTGTAAAATTAGATTGTTTATTTGAGATTTTTTCTTGTTTCTTGAAATAGGCCTATAATGCTATAAATTTCCCTATTTGAATTGCTTTCGTTGTGTTCCTTAAAGTGTGTGTTATTATGTTCTTATTTTCCTTTGTTTCAAGGTATCTTTTGATTTCTTACTTGATTTCATTGTTAACACATTCATTGTTTAATAACATATTCTTTAGCTTCCATATGTTTGTGCATTTTTCATTTTTTTCATTGTGATTTATTTCTAGTTTTATACCACTATGGTCAGAGATGATGCTTAATATGATTTCAATCTTCTTAAATTAATTGAAACTTGTTTTGTGTCCTCACATGTGGTCTATCCTAGAAAATGTTCCATTTGCCCTTGAAAAGTATGTATATTCTGCTGCTTTGGGCTGGAGATACCAATTAAACCAATCTGGTCTAGTATGTCATTTAAGGCTGCTGTTTCTTATTGATTTTCTCTCTGGAAGACCTATCTATTGATGTCTATGTGGTTTTAAAATTCCTTACTATAACTGTATTATTGCCAATGTCCCCCTTTATGTCCATCAAGATTTGTTTTATATATTTTAGTGCTCCTGTTTTGGGTACATAAATGTTTATGAGGGTTATATCCTCTTGTTGGATTGCTCCCTTTATCAATCTTACTATAGGATTTTTTTTGCTCAATCCCTCCGCCCCTCCACCCAGCACCCACCCTCTACCCTACAACAGCTGTCAGCCAGCTCTCTCTATGAATCTCTCTCCATTTAATGATGCAAGTATTGCTATCCCAGCTTTTTTTTCCTTTTCCACTTGCATAATGTATCATTTTCCATCATTTACTTTAAGTCTGTTTGTATCTTTCATTCTGATGTGCATCTGTTTTAGACTGCAAATATATGGGTTGTGTTTTCTTATCCATTCTACTTCCCTATGTCTTTTGATTGGAGCATTTAAGACATTTACATGTAAAATGATTATTTATAGATACATATTTATTGCCATTTTATTATTTTAAAATTTTTCTTCTGTTTCCCCTCCTTCTCTCACTCCTCCTACTTCCCCCCTCCTCCTCCTATTTTCTTCATCAAGAAAACCCTTTAACATTTTATATAATACTGGTTTGGTAGCAACAAACTCCTTTAGCTTTTTGTTCTCTGGGAAGCTCTTTATCTGTCCTTCAATTTCAAATATTAGCATTGCTGAGCAAAGTAGTCTGGGTTGTAGGTCCTCAATTTTCATCACTTTGAGTATCATGCCAATCTCTATCAGCCTGAAATGCTTCTGTTGAGAAATCAGCTGACTGTTTATGGAAGCTCCTTTGTAGGTAACTAACTGTCTTTCTCTGTGGCATTTAAGCTTCTTTGTCTTTAATTTTTGCCATTTTAGTAATGGTGTGTCTTGGTGTGGGCCTCTTTTGGTTTATCTTATTTGGGACTCCCAGGATTCTTGGACTGGTATTTTTTTCTTCCCCATGTTAGGGAAGTTTTTGTCATTTTTTTCTTCTATAATATATTCTTGATACCATGCTCACTCTCTTCTCTTTCTGGTACCCTTATGATGTTGATGTTATGCTTCATGTTGTTTCAAAGTTCTCTTAAACTATCCTTATTTTTTTAATTCCTTTTTCAATTTTGCTCTTCTGATTGGGTGTTTTCTGCTACCTTGTCTTCCAAATTTCTGATTTGATCCTCTGCTTCATTCAACCTGCTGTTTATTCCCTTCATTGCAGATATTGTATTCTTCATTTCTGACTGGTTCTTTTTTGTTAGTTTGTTTCTATGGTTTTTTTAATGCTTGCTCTATTTTTATTTAAGTCTTCACTAAGTTCCTTGAGCAACCTTATAACCATTTTTTTTTAACTTCATATCTGGTAAATTGCTTGCCTCCATTTTATTTAGCTCTTTTTCTGGAGATTTATCCTGTTCTTTCATTTGGGGCCTATTTCTATGTATCACCATGTTGGCTGCCTCTTTGTGTGTGTTTCTATGTGTTAGGTAGACCTTCTATAACTCCTAGTCTTGGTAGGGTGGCCTTATGTAGTAGGAACCCTGTGAGACCCAATGGTGTAGTATTCTTGATCACCTAATCTGGGTGCTCCAGGAATGTCCCTTGTGTGGGTTATATGGGCCCTTCTGTTGTAAACAAGTCTTGATTACTATTGCCCTGTTTATATATCGGGTCAACCCTCAGGCTGGCTTACTGTGAGTATTGACCAAAACCATGGTGTATGAGCTGCTGTGTAGGTGCTGAACACATGGAGCAGAATTCATCTCATCAGGGTCTCATGCCTGCCATGATTGTCCTGTGGATATGCCACTTGTGAAGCTAATTGGATCCTCCTCTGATGTTGTCTGAAGTTGGCCACTGGTTGTATTGATTCTAGAGCCTCCGGCAGGGGGACTGTGGTACTGGCCAGTAGCTGACTCTGCCTGTGACTGGCCCTAGCAACCTGTTTGGAGCTACAAAATGTTCCAGTTTGTGGCTGCCTCCTCCGGGCCTAGTTGTGTGCAGGAAGGACCAAGCTCTGCACAAAGGCTAGTTTTTATTATCACTGGGCCCAGGGACAGGTGAAGGTCAATGGAAGTTCCAAAGCATCCTGAGATCTGCTTCTGGATGCCTCCACATGCCAACTGCTTGATAGCCTCAGTCACTGAAAGAGCCTCTCACTGTACTCAACTTGTATGAGGAAAGTTCTCAATGAGTAACCAGGTAGGGGTGATTATTGTTCATTAGATTGATAAAGGTTCAAACTCAGTTCCCATGCTGGGTCTGAGGCCACTCAGAAAATGTCCCAGGGTATACCAAATCTAGCTGCCACCCACTGGGTGCTCACAGACATTTGTGATGGGGACTGTTCTCAGGCAGTCATCAGGGTGAGGCAGCAGAGTTTATCAAGCACAAGCAAAGATTTGGCCATGTGAAAGGAGGGCTCTGTACCAGTTGGACGCGTGAGGGAAGAATGACCCCCATCCAAGAACCATACCTCTCAGTCTGTCCAAGATTCTGCCACAGCCTGAGCTCAACAGGGGAGGCGAATGGGGAGTGTGGAGGGTGGGGCATGAGGAGTGCAGAGGATGCGGCTAGTGGATCTCCTGTGAGGAGAATAGGAGATTATATATATATATATATATATATATATATATATGGTATATATATATGGTATATATATTAGATATATATATGTATATTAGATATAGTAGATATAGATATAGATATAGATAGTAAGACCTCTGTAGTCCTATCTACCTATATTTTTTATATACAGATTTAATAAAGTAAGCTAACTCACCGACATGCATGGGTACATAGTTTATATTGCAAAAATACTGTTGCCTACTTTAAGCTTTTTATAGGGAATTCCATTTTCCCCATTAGTTATTTGATATACATTGCCTTCAAAACCTTTGGCTTTTTATCCTTGCCATCTGAGCTCTGAAATTACCAGATGTCCACTATTTCACGTCTTTTAGCTCATTTTAGATAGAGCTTCATAATTTACCTTAAGCTTAGGTTGTTTTTCTTTGTTTTTGGAAACCATATGTCATGACATCTCAGATAGGCAGACAGATAAATAGATAATCAACTTCTATCAAAAAGAGAATTAATTAAATTAGAGGGCAGAGACCTTGTATTGTGATAAAATACACCTAATATAAAATTTGCCTTTAGTGACATTTAGTACATTCACAATGTTGTGCAGCTATCACCAATATGTAATCCCAGAACATATTGATCAGCCCAAAGAAGTCTATACTCATTTAAAAGTCACTCCTCTTTCTCCCTAGCATCTTGCAGCCACCCTCTGTCTTCAGCCTCTTTGGATTTGCCTATTTGGGATATTTCACATAAAAGTACTACAATAGGTGGCTTTTCGTGCCTGGCTTCTTTCAGTTAGTTTGATGTTTTCAAGGTTCATCCATGTAATAGTGCTTCATTCCTTTTTATGGCTGAATAATATTCCATTAATCCACATTTGGGTTATCCATTCACCAATGTATATGCATTTGGGCCATTTTTATCTTTTGGCTATTGTAAATACTGCTTTTGTGAACAAAAACATTATATGCATGTTTTTGTTTGAATACCTGCTTTTAATGCTCTTGAGTATATATCAAGGAGTGTAATTGCTGATTCATGTGGTAATTGAAATGAGACATTTTCAAGTGAAATCTTACAAAACTAATAAATATTCCCATTTTATGTGGAGGGGTCATATTCTTATTCCTCTTATGTTAACAAACTTTCTGGGCTCCTGTAATTCTCTAGGAAATGTGGTATGGGAGTTTATAACAGGAGACTACCAGATGGCATCATCAACCTATACCTAACATGAGAACTAAGCTCTTTTTTTATATAAGGGACCACTCAATACAAAGGCAGTTGAAGGTCTTCAACTTTAGCACATATACTGGAATGTAGGTTCAGGCAAAGAAGGTTATAGGCAAGTAACTAAAATGTTTCTATATAGCTTTGCAGTCAGGTAGATCTTAGTCAAATTACGACCTATTGCCTTTGGGTCACTCACTAAATTTCCCTGTATTTCAGTTTCTCCATCTGTAAAATGGAGGTAGCGATATCTGCTTCTCAAGATTGTTATGAGGAAAAAGCATAACTTGGCACATAGTTGGCACTTCATAAATATTAGTTCTCATTCCCCTTTACTTTCTTATACTCTCCCAATTACATGTTCTTCAAGACAACAGCATTTTTCTTCTTATTTTCTCTTTCAGGTTAAAATTAAACTGCCAAATACAAACTCTTCTGAAATTAAAATTAATGTCCAGGAAATGATCCTTGACCTTTGTACTCCTGATAAGTGAGTAAAACTTAGAACTAGAACACTGTATTATAATATTAATGAATCTTTAGTCAATATTCTTTTTAAAAATGTACATGGTTATTTTGTATCACTCCTGAAGACTGAAGAAAAGTTAAAAAGAAAGATAATCATTCAGATTTTTGGTCTACATAATATAAACAAAAATGTATTTGGAAATAACTAGATTTTTTTTCTACTGTGCATTTGTACATTTAGAGTAGGTTGATATCACCAAAATACAGTCCTTGACATTCACATCAGTTGGATTATCTGTAAGGAAAAATAACTAGAGGTGAAAATACCTTAAGTTGTAAGTCTTGCATATGTTTTTTTTTTTTACACAGTGATGGCATAAGGGAAGCAATATCTAAACATTTTAGATATAGTTGGGGTACTAAGATTAAATTATTTTCATATAAAAGTCAACAAAAATTCTTGTCATCAGTTACTTAAAACAAAAATTCTAAGAGCTAATTTATCATTAGATCCTCGAGTTGTGAGAATACATTTTAAAATAATACATATGATATGAAACTTCAAGATGGCAGAGTAGAGAGTAGAAGTCACACTGCCGAGTAGCCGGCAAGGGTTGGTGAGTGTGTGTGTGGACCCGCGCGGGTTGGCGAGGGCTCGAGCAGGCTGGCAAGGCCTCCCACAGGTTGGCACCGATGGGGCCTGCCAGGGAGTGCGCAGATCAGCGAGGGCAGGTGTAAATCAACTTGCGCAGGCCCATGAGTGCAGAACAGTCAGCAGAAATAGTAGATCTGGGGCCGAAGGGGTCACAGAGCAGCCCAGAGTCCCTGGAGGAGAGACCGGAGATAAGATTAACCGGAAAGTCCTGGAGCTGACTTCCTCCCATTTCCATAGTCTCCATTTGGCGAGGGCAGGCAACGCATCTGAAGACCCAAAAGTGGGGAAAGCACACAATAGAAGACCCTAAATTTACCAGTGCCAGGGTGCCCGATGGCCTGGGGGGCCAGAGGAGTATGCAAGGTCATGAAGAAGGCCCCTGGGCTGGGGCAACCAGCGCAAGCCCCGGGACGGGGATCCTGCTGGACCAGGGAGTGTGATCAAGGAGCCCGCGTGAGAGTGCAGAGCCATCCACAGAAATAGTGCCTGGCCGAAGGGGTCACAAAGCTGCCCAAAGCAGGACTCAGGCACAGACAGTAGACTCCTGGAAGGCTGAAACAAATAACACAAGGTAATATAGGATCAACAACTGACATCATCAGAGGTAGGCCCAGAAAGAAAAGTAAAGGAATAAATAAATAGATAGATAGATAGATAGATAGATAGATAGATAGATAGATAAATAAATTTGCCTACTACCATAGAAGTTCAATTCACAAAGTCAGGAAATCTAGATGGCCCAACTGAACCAGAAGCATGCATGCATACATAAATAAATAAATAAATAACAGACTCTCACAAAAATGGGAAGAAAAAGAAGTTCCCCCCAAATGAGTGGAAAAGGGGACTCCCCACAGAGAGAGCTAAATGAAATAGAGGCAAGGGAATATCAGATATTGAATTCAAAACAATGGTTCTAAGGAAGCTCAACAAGCTCAGCCCGCTTAAAGATAACTATGAGAAACTGCAGAAAAACTATCAGGATCTTCCAACAAACTATATCAACCTGGAAAACGACATAGAAACTATCAAGAAGACACAAGAGGATAAGAAGAATACCATTTCTGAATTGAAGAACACAGTAGAAGGAATCCAAAGCAGGCTGGATGAACCGAAGGATCTAATCAGTGAGATGGAAGATAAGGTAGAAAAAAGCCCCCAGAAAGAACAAGGAATGGAAAACAGACTCAAAAAGAATGGAGAGGCATTTAGGGAAATGCAGGACAACGTGAAACGCAATAAAATCCATATAATAGGGATACTAGATGGAGAAGAGGAGCAAGGGATAGAGAACCTCCTCGAAAAAGTAGTATTGGAAAATTTCCCTAACTTGAGGAGAGAAAAGGTATCATGGATCCAAGAGGCACGGAGGGCCCCACACAAGAGGGACCCAAGGAAGTCCACTCCAAGACATATCATCATTAAAATGGCAACTATCAAAGACAAAGAGAGAATCCTCAAGGCAGCAAGGGAGAAGGAGAAAGTAACATACAAGGGGGCCCCAATGCAGATAGGAGCTGACTTCTCAACAGAAACACTACAAGCCAGAAGGGAAAGGCAACAAATATTCCAAGTCATGAAAAGCTAAGGCCTACAACAAAGGCTGCTCTACCCAGCTAGGCTCTCAATTAAAATAGAAGGGGAAATACAGAATTTCCCAGACAAGAGAAGGCTAAAAGAATACATCTCTACCAAACCAGCACTCCAAGATATGCTAAGGGGACTGGCTTGAGAAGATGAAGGAAAAGAATGAGAGAGAGAGGAACACAGTTACAAAGAGAAAAGATGAGTAAGTTTCTATCAGTAATATCTCTCAATGTGAATAGACTAAATGCCCCAATCAAAAGACACAGGGTAGCTGAATGGATAAGAAAACATGACCCACACATATGCTGCCTACAAGAGACCTACCTCAGAGCAAGAGACCTACACAGATTGAAAATAATGGATGGAAAAAAATATTCCAAGCAAATGGGCATGAGAAAAATGCCGGGGTTGCCATACTTGTATCAGACAAAGTAGATTTCAAAACAAAGGCCATAAAGAGAGACCCAGAGGGGCACTTTATCATGCTTAAAGGAAGAATCTATCAAGAAGACATCAACATTGTAAACTTATATGCTCCCAGTATAGGAGCCCCCAAGTTTATAAGGAAATTGTTGGACGACTTCAAAAAAGATATAGACAGCAACACACTGATAGTAGGGGATTTCAACACCCCACTGTCAAAAATGGACAGATCTTCCAAAGAAAACATTAATAAAGATATTGTGCAGCTGAAAGACACACTGAATCAAAGAGACTTAACTGACATATATAGAACCTTACATCCCAAAGAAAAAATATACACATTCTTTCCAAATACTCATGGCAGTTTTTCAAAGATAGACCACATGATAGAACAACCTCAGCAAATTCAGGAAAAATGAAATAATACCAAATTTTTCTCAGACCACAAGGGCTTGAAACTGGAAATCAGCCTCAGGGAAAAACTTCAAAACTTTGCAAACTCATGGAGACTGAGCAGGAGACAATTAAACAATGAATGGGTCAAAAATGAGATAAGAGAAGAAATAAAAAAAAATTCTGGATACAAATGAAAATGAACAGACAATAGTCCAAAACCTATAGGACACAGCAAAGGCAGTCCTGAGAGGGGATTTCATAACAATACAGGCTTACCTAAAAAAAGATAGAAACATTTGAAATAAAAGGCCTGACACAACAACTTCAAGAAGTGGAGAAACAAGAACAAAGAAATCCCAGAGGAAGTAGAAAGAAGGAAATAGTGAAGATTAGAGCAGAACTGAATGACATAGAGACGAAAAGAACAATTCAGAGGATCAACCAATCCAGAAGCTGGTTCTTTGAAAAGATAAATAAAATAGACAAGCCTTTAAACAGACTCATCAAGAAAAAAAGGAACAGGACCCAAATTAATAATATGAGAATTGAAAGAGGGGAAATAACCACTGATACGACAGAAATACAAAGGATTGTCAGAAACTACTATGAACAATTATATGCCAAGAAATTTGAAAACCTCGATGAAATGGACAAATTTCTAGAAAAGTATAATCTTCCAACACTGAAGGAGGAAGAAACAGAAAGCTTGAACAGACTGATAACACCTGGGGAAATTGAAGCTGTAATAAAGAAACTCCCGGCACAGAAAAGCCCAGGGCCAAATGGTTTCCCAGGAGAATTTTACAAAACATTTAAGGAAGAGTTAACCCCTGTCATTGTCAGACTATTCCAAAAAATCCAAGAGGAGGGAAGACTCCCAGACTCTTTCTATGAGGGCAGCATCACCCTAATTCTAAAACCAGATTAAGACCCTACAAGGAAAGAAAACTACAGGCTAATTTCACTGATGAATATAGATGCTAAAATCCTCAACAAAATATTGGCAAACCGCATCCAGCAATACATTAAAAAGATTGTCCACCATATCAAGTAGGATTCATCCCAAGGATGCAGGGATGGTTCAATATACGCAAGTCAATAAACGTAAAAAGTCACATAAATAAAAGAAAAGACAAAAACCACATGATCATCTCGATAGATGCAGAAAAAGCATTCGATAAGGTACAGCACCCATTTATGATCAAAACACTCAGCAAAATGGGAATAAATGGGGCATTCCTCAATGTATTAAAGGCCATAAATGAAAATCTACAGCCAACATCATACTCAACGGGCAAAAACTGAAAGCTTTCCCACTAAGATCAGGAAAACGACAAGGATGTCTGCTTTCACCGCTTCTTTTCAACATCATATTGGAGTCCTAGCCACTATGGTCAGAAAAGAAAAAGAAATAAAAGGCATCCAAATAGGAAAGGAGGAAGGAAAGCCATCATTATTTGTAGATGACATGATAGTGCACATAGAAAACCCTGTAGACTCTACCAAAAATCTCTTCAACCTAATACGTGAATTTGGCAAAACAGCAGGATACAAAGTCAATATTCGGAGATCAAAGGCATTTTTGTACACCAACATTGAAATAGAAGAAGTAGAAATCAGAAAAAAATACCATGGAATATAGCAAGAAGAAAAATAAAGTCCCTAGGAATAAATTTAACCAAAGATGTAAAAGACCTGTACGCAGAAAACTATACAACATTGAAGAAAGAAATTAAGGAAGACACAAATAAATGGAAGCATATACCGTGCTCATGGACTGGAAGAATTAATATCATCAATATATCCATAGTACCCAAAGCAGTTTATAGATTCAACGCAATCCCTATTAAAATACCAATGACATATTTCACAGAAATAGAACAGACATTTCAAAAATTTATATGGAAACATAAACGACCCCAAATATCCACAGCAATTTTGAGAAAGAAAAACAAAGTAGG